CCATAGGTTGTCCTGATGCTGTGGACCCATACGGCCCACTCTTCCCAGTGAATAAATGCCATCAAATCCATCATCTCATGAATGCACTTGCCAGTGCTTGTGTGTGTTCCTGCGTATTGCTATTGTGTCTTCTGTATAATAGTGTGTGATACTGTATGGAAGACATTACCCTATATATTAGAGCAGGCATGACATTCTAATATACTCTATTATCTTCCAGGGCCCATCCGGGCTTCCCCGCACTCACACAGCATGACAAGTTCTTGCACTGCCTTCCAAGTCCTGCTCCACCGCACACCCCGCTCACTGCCCTCTTGGTCTCCTCCCCTCTCCCCTCTTATTCTGCTCCAGCCATGCTGGCCTCTGCTGTCTCCACATCCACCAGGCTGGCTCCCACTCCGGACCTTTATGCTGCAGCGCCCTCCCTGTTAGCTTGGCGCTCGCCCCTCACCTCCAAGTGTTGCTCACCTCACCTTTTCAGTGACCCTCCAGGCCCATGGTTGCAACCCTCTCCCCACCTATTTCTCCCGACCGTCTGACATGTCATATATGTCACTTCCTGTGTATCCCTGTCTCCCCCAGGCAGGTAAGGGGTGTGCTCACTATGTCCTCTGTGCCTAGAGCAGTGCCTGGCACACAGGAGGTGCTCCATAAACCTTTGTGCTGGCCTGATTGATGTCTCATGGAAGGAATGTGAGAGGCGGGGACAACTCAATGACCTCACTGTGGCAGCACGCACCCAGGTGCCAGGCACACAGCAGTTCACAAGACAAACACTGGGCCAAAGTCTCAGCCAGGCATGCCCGCATTGGTTTTGGGCAGCTGGTGGTTGAAGCAGAAACTCAGTAGCCTTAACATTTACCTGAGGACGGTGTCTGCCTGTCACTTCTTCGCTCTGAGCAGCTGACGGTCCCCTGAGTAGACTGTGGGTGGGAGATGGGCTCAGACCCTGCCCAGGGCCAGAAAGAGGCTCAGAGGGAGGGGCTCCCCAGATCCTGGGCAGTGGGAACAGCCAGACCACCCTCCTCCTCGCTGGCACTCAGTCCTGCACCGAAGGCTCCAGAACTCTGGGCAAAGGTCACAGCACCTGCTGCCAGGGGAGCATGTGACCCTCTGAGCACTGCTGAGTTGGAACAAGCCACACAATCAGGTCATTGTGCTAAACATGCAGGTCCCCTTGCCAAGCCACGCCCCATTCCATCACTGCCAGACCTTTCTGGAACCCTGATTTACAGGGGCCCCAAACTGGGGAGGGTGTTGTCGCAGTGGCCCTGGGGGAGGGGCCTGCCCTGAGGCCCCAGGAGAAGCGGATGGGAGCAGGAGGCCAGAGCCTGCGTGGCTCCAGGCCCATGAAGAGTGGCAGACGCTGATGAGACCACCACGTCTGACTCTGGTGGCACGTGGACACTAAGCACTGAACGTGCCTTGGGCGGTGAAGACGGTGGGTCACTGAATTTTTGGAAATCCAAAGGTTTTCCTCCTTCATGACCGGGTCCAGTAATTACACTCAGTCCACTCTGCGAGGGAGATCTTCCCCTACAGCACGGAGCCTCCACCGCCACTGGGCGATGATGTGGCCGCTGGACTCCCAGTGACCCTTCCCATCTCAGACAGTGCGGAAACGGGGGTGGGGGTCAGGCTGAGTGCCCAGGGAGAGGACCCTGCTTTTTCACCTTATCTCCCTGCGCCTGTGTGTCCGCAGCTATAAAATGGGGATGACGATGTGTGTCACACCTGATGGCAGATGATGGCACATGAAATAGGGTCCTGTACGGCATGAGTCACCCAGGGCTTTGCACCCTGCAGACCCTCAGGCAAAGCTCCCTGGGGGTTTCACTCCACGGGCCACTCGCTGAGACCACCCTGCTTGGGTTGCTTAGTTTTGTCATCACAGGTGACTCTAATGGAGATGGCACCATGAGGTGGCACTCTGCTCGCTGAACACAGCAATCTTGACCTCAACAGGCAGGTGAGGAAGGACTGGTCCTTTGCCGGGTACGCTGCAAGGTTCTTGAGTGCCTGGTGTGTGGTGAATGCAAAAAAGAGGAGCACCTGAATCATGGAGCTTGAGGCCAAGCAGGACCCCCAGGCCCTGGGGACGCGTGAGGACTCAGCACTCACCCTTCTCACCTCACCTGCAGGAAGGAAGTTGGTCCAGAAGCCAGGACCAGACACCGACATGCTCTTGCCTGTGAGCCTGGCCCTTGGGGACCAACAGCTGATTTCTGTGCCCCATGTGTTGTCTTTCCAGAGACATCCTCCAGGAGGACCCCCTACCACCACCCTGTGAAGGGAAGTATGGGAGAGAGGGGGGCATTACAGTTATTGAGCACCAGTAACACGTGCTGTCCAAGGGCCGTGTGTATGCCATTTCCAACACACACCTCCCCAGGTGCCCTGATCCCTGAAGAAAAGGCCCCGCCCGAGACCTTGAACTTTGGAGTTGGATGGTCGTGGAGGCTCCGCTCTGCCCCTCCTGTGGGTCCTGAACAAGGACTGAGCCTGGGAGCCTCAGTTGCCTCCCCTGTGGGATGGGGATAATTTCGTGGGCTGCACGAGGATGAAATGAGATGAGATAATTAAATCAAAAGGCACAGAGCTTGTTATGGGCTCTGCAAATTTTAGGGATGATGATAAGATGAAGCGGCTTGGGCTCTAAAGCCTCCCTGGACGTTTCGCTGGGCCTCACTGCTGCTTGGGACTCAGGTGGCTTCTGACCAACTTCCTCCCTGCAGGTGAAGTGGAGAAAGGCGAGCCTGATTCTATTTCTCACTTGTCTCGTCACTTTGGGGTCCGATCGCTTCTACCAGACAATTTCGATTCTGGGGTCTGAGAATTGGGTCCCTGGGGCGCTGGGCCAGTCTGCCACGTCAGAGCTATTCCAAAACACAGAGGGTCCTGCCTTTTCCTGGCGCCATCTTCGCCCCCAACGCAGTGGGTGGGCCACCCCCTTCTCTGTGTGGGCTGGAGGGGTGGTGTCCAAGCAGGACCCTGAGGAAAGGGGGAACCCTGTGGCCCAGCAGCTTCCCCTCCATCCCACCCCACAAGGCAGTGCGGTGCGACCTGCTCCAGTCCTGGCCCCTCCCTTTGACTAGAAGCATTTAGCCTTCGTTTGCAGGTGCCTTTTTCTTTATGCAGCCTCAGTTTTCAAGCTTCCACCCTGCCTCTAGCACCAGCCCTGAGGTGTCATTCTTGGCATTTTAGATGAGACCGAGATCCATTCTCAGAGGGGATCCTCCCAGCAGCTGGTCTGGGGACAACAGGGATGTCCCACTGAGTCCAGTCGATGCTTCCTTCTGCTGTGGCTGGCATTCTGGCTGAGACGAGGGTCACCCTGGGGGAGAGGCCACAGGGCCTTTCTGGAGACAAGCCAGGCGGAATGGCGGTGCTGGTGCAGCCGCTGAGGTTGGTGAGACTCACCTTTCAAAGTCAAAGGAAAAGACAGTCCCTCCATTTCATACCTGTGTGTGCAGGGGTGGTCCTTCCATTCAGTCTTCAAAGAAGTGGAGACCAGAACTAGCGCTGGTCAAGTTTCACAGGTTTTGCTTGTTACTTCTTCCCTAGTTCCTATACTTTTTACAGGAAAGGGAGCTGGGGGTGGGGTGGGAGGGAGAAGGAAACAAACGTCCCAAATCCCTAAGGACTCAGTCAAAGAAAAATAACAAGTCCTGAGAAGCTGGTCTGGGCCTGTGAAGGAGGTGTGGGACCCCAGGCAGTGTCCCTGGTTTCTTTGTATTGGCTGGACTCTGCCTGTAATTCAGGTAGGTGCCACCAGGGGGAGACATGTCTGCCTTGCTCCACAAAATACTAATTACTGAGAAAGGACTCCTCCACTAACCAGTTGTAAATTTATGGAAGTTGCTCATCCCTAATTCCTCAGCCGGCCTCTGTTGCCTCATCTTTATAGTGAAGGGGTGGAGACAGGGACTTCCAGGATCCAGCTCTGAAATGATTGGATTAAAGGCCCATCCTAATGACTGCATCCTTACTATAACCTCTGTAAATGCCCTGTTTCCAAACAAGGTCACATTCACGCATAGCAGGGATTAGGACTTGAACATGTCTTTTGGGGGGTATAATTGAGCCCTTACCGCCACCTAAATGTTCTTACCGCCAACTCATTCCTCGGCTTCTTGTCATCTGGTCTCTTTCCACCCCGCGCTGCTCACATGGTTCCCTGAAGGTCACCAATGCCACATTCAGTGGCTTTTCTCAGGCCCCGTCCTTGTGACTGCCCTGCAGGATTTGTCCTGGTCACCTCTTCTCTCCTTCTAGCCCTCTGCCAGCCCAACATCCAGTCACACCTGCGGCTGTTCCAGGTGTGCCTTCTTCTCTGACCTTCCTTCCCTCCCCATCGCCAATTTCAGGTGCGTTGGAATCCTGGGGACTTGCTCATGTTCTCGTCTTTCAACACCCTCTCCTCTGGCCAGCTCCCAACCTCCATGCTTCAGCGCCCTCTCGGAGAAGATAACAAATATCTCTTTCTAGCCTGACTCTCCCGAGCTCAAAGCTGGAAATCACTGAAGAGCCTCGAAGGTAACACATCCCAAGCGTGACATATCCTCTTCACACACACACACACACACACACACACACACACACACGCCCTGGTCAAAGAAACAACTCGTGTCTCCCCCTGGCTCCCCTATTACCAGCACAAACACCGCCATCTCCCTTTCTGTATTTTTCAGGCATCTCTTTGTGACATTGTCCTGAGACGCCCAGAAATACGGTGGCACTTTGAATGTGGACAGGCACCCACACAAGTGGGTGGAGCCAATCCGTGAGATGTGCTTTACAGCCATTATTGTGACCCCACCCTTAGTCACAGGCTGCGGGGCCAGGGAAGTCTGGGCTCCTCCTGCCTCTGTGGCTGAGACTCAAAGCAACAACACAAAAGCATAGGCAGCAGGCCATTTAGTTTCAGACCCAATGAGGCCCAGGGCATTATATTTGTTAATATAATGCTCCTGGTTTGCAATATAAGATTTCCACTGTAATTCTGCATTTCTTCCGGAGCCTCTGGTCGTGTGCTCGCACAGAGCTGGCTGCCCGCAAATGTGGGGTCTGATGCAGTTTGCCTGGGCGCTTATCTCAGCCATAAAGCCCAGCACACTTGCGCTCAGGGATCTGTAAATAAGCAGAGATTTCGCTGCTCTGCACTCCACTCCCAGAGCCTCAGCCCTGCACAGCCAGAGACACAACCATGGCGATGCTTACGACGCAGGCCGGAGTGGACGTAGATGACCCGCTTCCACCTTCATTTCATCAACCAGGAGGCAGCCATTGAGACACCAGGAGACTTCCCCAGGGCCGCCTGTGTGTCCCCTTAAATGCCATCGGCCTTTACTTACCTTCTCTTTAGAAGGATAGCCTCGGGCTCAGGTGGCCATTCCTGGGACAGCAGAGGGGGCCTCTAGGAGCTCACAGCCTGCAGCATGTCGGGGCGCAGTCCCGTCCCACATTTCATCCTGCGACATCCACATCCCCGACGTCCTCCCACATCTCCGACATCCACCCACAGCCCCGACATCCACCCACAGCCCCAACACCCACCCACAGCCCTGACCTCCACCCACAGCCCCGACACCCACCCACAGCCCCGACGCCCCAGTAGGACTTCGTTTCCATGAGTCCCTCTTGCCAAACCTCTGTTTCCTCCTATTGTATCCTTATGTCCTTCTGATGCCAGAGCCTGGGTGACAATGGCCCAATGAGACCAGATGCAGTGAGTATCCAGTGTCAGAGAACAAGGGCATTGGACCCTGGCATGTCATGTAACAGGGGAGCCTGGACGTTGGGGAGATGGGGACCCCATCCCTTTGCGATGCCTGCCACCTGCCTCTCACTTGCCCTGACCCCACCTGCCGCCTGGACCCCTGCTTGTGGGCTCCCTGAGCAAACAGCACAGATTCCAAAGGCGTGTGTTGACCATGTGGCATCTCTGAAAGCCATCACGTCCCTGTGCCTGGACCTTGGGTCCCCGGGGCACCCATCACACACACACACACACACACACACACACACACACACACACACAGGAAAAAAATAAATTAAATTAAATGTAGGATAAAATAAAACCTGTGATCCTGGTCTGGCTTACTGCCTAGAAACTGTTACATCAAGACAAGGCAGAGTACAGGCCCCACGAAAGAGTCGCATAAACACAGGGGTGGGCAAAAGTAGGTTTACAGTTGTAATACAAATAAATAATACAATAATTAATAAATGATAATACAAAAATAAACTCACATGCTCACAACTGTAAACCTACTTTTGCCCACCCTTGTGTTTATGCGACTCTTTCGTGGGGCCTGTACTCTGCCTTGTCTTGATGTAACAGTTTCTAGGCAGTAAGCCAGACCAGGATCACAGGTTTTATTTTATCCTACATTTAATTTAATTTATTTTTTTCCTGTGTGTGTGTGTGTGTGTGTGTGTGTGTGTGTGTGTGTGTGTGTGATGGGTGCCCCGGGGACCCAAGGTCCAGGCACAGGGACGTGATGGCTTTCAGAGATGCCACATGGTCAACACACGCCTTTGGAATCTGTGCTGTTTGCTCAGGGAGCCCACAAGCAGGGGTCCAGGCGGCAGGTGGGGTCAGGGCAAGTGAGAGGCAGGTGGCAGGCATCGCAAAGGGATGGGGTCCCCATCTCCCCAACGTCCAGGCTCCCCTGTTACATGACATGCCAGGGTCCAATGCCCTTGTTCTCTGACACTGGATACTCACTGCATCTGGTCTCATTGGGCCATTGTCACCCAGGCTCTGGCATCAGAAGGACATAAGGATACAATAGGAGGAAACAGAGGTTTGGCAAGAGGGACTCATGGAAACGAAGTCCTACTGGGGCCTGGAACACTTACTGGGCTGAGCCCTTTCCCCATGGCCCTGACCCATGGGCACAGCACCCTGTGACTTCGGTACCTCTGGGCCAGGCTGAAGGGATGGAGCACCTGTCCCTGCTCACAGCGCAGCAGGATGCACGCCAGGCTCCCCATGTCCACGTCCGCCTGTGGCCGCCTTGGCATTGCCCGTTGCCCGTTCCCCATCTTGTTCCTGTCAAGGCTGCAGGGCCCAGCTCTGGAGACGAAGGCAGCCGTGCAGCGTTGGTGTGCGCCTCTTAGGAGCAGGCATTTGCAGGAACTCCTGTGGTCCCCTCAGCAGCCTCAGGAGTCAGGCGGTGATTTCTTAGTGTGCAGTTCAGGAATTTTCACTCGGAGAGTTACAAAGTGCCCTTGAGTCACCATGACCCTCGCTGCACTGCCGGGGAAACTGAGACTCGGACTCTCGCCCCCTCCCCCACCCCGGGCCTCCTCAGCAGCCCCTCCACCCAGCGCCTACCTGCCAGGACAGGAGACTGCGGCTGGAGAGTGAGGCGTGCAGAGCCTCGCCGCCTGCCTGACAGGCAGAAGATAAACAGCTTCCCGTTAAATCTCGCTTAATGCTGATATTTATAAATTTATTCAGCTGTGTTTACTGAGTCGCGAGAATGCCTAATAGCATAGCGTGCTTCGTCTCACATGCTCCTACTAATGAGAATGCAAGTGTTGCTTAATTTTTTTTTAACATTTCATTTGCTTTCCTCTCCCTTCCACTTCTCTCATTGTTGTTGGCTTGGACTTTAATCTGTTACCAAATTCTGAAAACTTTGGCCTTTTGGGGCATTAGTAAAGAGGCCTGGAGCACTCACTGAACTGAGCCCCATCCCCACAAGCACTTCACCCTGTGACTCTGGTACCCATGGGGTCAGGGTGCTGAACAGACAGAGCACGCTGTTGGAGAACAACGGCCTCTTCTATTTTCTGCTGCAGTTTGCAGAAGCTGCATGGTTTGGGTCAGAATTGTAGTATTTGGGGTTTTAGGAACAGGGGATCTAGGGCAAAGGGCAGGGAGCTGGTGTCCTTGGCTTTGGAGAGACAAGGAGGATGGTGTGTGTGTGTGTGTGTGTGTGTGAATGTATTTGTGATAGAGATAGAGATAGGGATAGGGATAGAGATAGAGATAGAGATAGAGATAGAGATAGAGATAGAGATAGAGAAATGGAGAGAGGGAATGAGAGAGGGCAGACTCCACTTTTACCTTAGTTTGATCTGCTTTGCTATGAGTTTGTTAAGATAAAGGTCTTGCAGGGAACAGACTGACATATCTTAGGGGGAAGGGAGGTGGAGGGAGTGGGAAGAGGTTAACCAAAGGACATATATGCATACATGCATAGCCCATGGACGCAGACAACAGTGTTATGAAGGCCTGGGGTGGGGTGCAGGTTGGGTGGAGAGGAGCAAAGGGGGCGGGGGGTGAGGGACATCTGTAGTACTGTCAACAATAAAAAAGAAGAAACAGTTTTTACAAAAAGGTCTTTCCCTGGCTATTTATCCCACTAAGGTCAACTGTGCTGATGGCTAACGCACGGGCAGCCTTCAGCTGGCCCAAAGGAGCCCAGGACCAGGCAGGGAGAGATGGCTAAGAGATCAGCAGAGCTCAGGAGGCGACTAGGAAGGCATTGAGGGGTGAGGGTGGGGATAGTTGGGGTGGTCTGTGCTGGGCTCCCGTGGGTGGGGTGGGCGGGAGCTGGTGGCAAGTTGCCAGGCCTCAGGAGCACACCAGGCATACTTCTGGAATCAGGAGCTGGGGAGGAGGAGGGCTAGAGAGACATGCCTGGTGGGCAGGACCAGGAGGGGCTGTGGTGGGGCACACAGTCGGGAGACCGAGGGGAGGGGAACAGGATCTGGGATGAGGACCCGCAGGGAAAGGAGATGAGATGGTGCAGGACTTCTCGGTCCTTCCTCCCCACCCCAAAGGGTTGCTCTCTGCTCCCCTCCAGCTCCTGTGGAATCCTCACACTTCGGTGTTTTCTATTCCTTCTCTCCTCCAAGCAACATGTCATGAAACTGAAGCTTCTTTGTAAATTTTAAAAGATGTATAACCTTAAATGTAAGAGTTGAGTGGAATAATTTATACTTCCCTGTCAAACCCCCCACGTATGCAAACTTATAGAGAGCTGTAAGCATTTTCTTATCACTCGGTGGTTGCCCTGCCTGTCCCTGTGTTGGCCAGAGGAGAAGCCTTGATAGGAGACCAGCGTCTGGCCCTGACCCCTCTGACCTTGGACGAGCCACGGCCTCTTTGAGTCTCATGACCCAGAGTTCTCCACCTTCCGGTTCTGCTCTTTGTGTAAGTTCTGGTCCGGATATCTTTTGCTAGGCGGGCAGAGCTGGAGGCCGGCCTGGCCAGGTGGCGGCTGCCCTGGGAATAGCACCCCGATTTTCTCTCCTTTGAGAGGCAGGACAAGGCCCTCTCCCTGGTCTGGCATCTCACAGGTCCATGCCTTTTGGCATTATCCAGGAAGCTGGGACCCCTTGGGGAACCCCAGAGACTGGGGAAGCCTGGGCAAAGGTGGAGACTTGGCTGAATGTCAGAAGCCCAGTGTCTGCTCAGGGCAGGGAGTGGACAACCAGCAGGTCCCAGGTCTGCCCAACACTGGACTGTGCCCTGTGCCGAGTCCTCTCCCTGTCTGGGCACCAGTGTCCCTGCCCAATTAAAGGCAGGTTGCCATTAGATGACCAATGAAACTTCCCCAGCCCTGGCTATGGCCTGGGCAGCCCTAGGCCATGGTGTCCTCACCTGTACCCCCCAGGCCTGTGGGTAACCTGGGCAGCGTGGGGAGGGGGCAGCCTTCCCCACCAGGGCCAACACATCTCAAGGGACAGGGGACAGGCAGGTGGCATGGATACCAGGGGTCTTGGGTAGCACGATGCCTATTTGAGGAATTTGAGGAGTGAACAGAGAAGCCTCAGGCCCAGCCTGTGCCACCTCCTCCTGCTTTTGCCCCGAAACTCAGTCCTCTCCACGTGTAGCCGGGGTCCTGTCGACATGCACACCTGAGTCCATCGGAAGGTCAGCCACCCCTGCGCCTCCTTGTTCTGCAGCAGCAGCAGGAACTTCCTCCTGACACCCCCTCTGGGCCCAGCTCTGTTTGGGGTTCCCCCGGGAGGAGGGGAGGAGCACAGGGGCTCATCCCTCTCCTTTGTGCTGCCTCTCCCTCCCACTTCCGCTGCCTGCACTGCTCCGGGTGACCTTTCACCCCTCCCTTGGATGTCCTTCAAAGGCAGCTCCTGGGGTTAATAACTTTGGCTGGCAGCCCCACACAAAGCCAGGCCCGGAAACTATTGTCCGGAGGACAATGGCTGCGCAGCCCAATAATGAGGCCTCCGCAGTGTTGTCTGACGTCCTAGGTTGCCCTGGCGAAGGAGGAGGGGCACGGGGCTGCCCTGCCCTCGCCTCCCGGAGATGAATTATTCCCCGGGGCCCACGGTGGGTCTTCCTGACAAGGCACCAGGCTCCTGCGCCCTCCAATCAGCACATTTTCATGCAGGTGGATGTCACCTGGGCCAAGGGGGGGCGGGGAGGCGGGCAGGGGGAGGAGACACCTGCTGTGCACACACCTCTCTCCAGCTTATTGTTCGGCTCCCCTGTTCTGGGTGGGAGCACCTCACAGTTTAGCAACTGGTTGGTGCTGGAAAATCAACAAGGTTGGGGAGACCTCAGCCTGCCACCTGATGCCAAGCATGTGGCACTTTCTGGAGCCCGGCCTCCCTCCTCCCCTCCTCGCTGTGTGACCCAGGGGAGCTGGGTAACCTCTCTGAGTCTCTGCTTACGCAGGCTCAGGTGGGAACCAAGAGGCGGCTCTCCCCTGGCCACTCTGTGGGGGACACGGAGTCCTCTGGCTGTGGGGGTAGCCCGTCCTCAATTATAATTCAACTTCGTTTTATGCAAGCCCCTGCCTTGTGTCCAAAATCTGACTGGGAGTTACTCAGGACATACTGTGCCACATGTTGGTCCTCCCCTCTGCCCTCTGCCCTCTGCCCTCTCCCCTCTGCACGTGCTGGGCACCGGGATCTTGACGAAGCCATGGGAAGTGGTTGCTGAGGCGCCAGAGTGTCCTCAGCCCTGCTGTCTGCTGGAGAGGCTGAAAAATCCCAGAAACGGTGACTTAATCGGTATGGACTGTGGCGCTGGGCCTGTGTGGGAGACAGGGGACTATTGGAACATGCAGGGAAAGAAGCCCTGATTGGCACCCAGAGAACACATGCCACCTCTCATTTATGCCTGAGCACAGCCCTCCTCTGGGGGCAGCACCAGACTAGGCAGTAAGACATTCGTGGTGCCCTTGAATAGTGTTCTTCTTTCCTACAGCTTTACCCTAAGGCAGGGGTCCTCAAACTTTTTAAACAGGGGGCCAGTTCACTGTCCCTCAGACCGTTGGAGGGCCGGACTATAGTTTTAAAAAAAACTATGAACAAATTCCTATGCACACTGCACATATCTTATTTTGAAGTAAAAAAACAAAACGGGAACAAATACAATATTTGTATTTGCATGTGGCCCGCGGGCGGTAGTTTGAGGACCCCTGCCCTAAGAAATGGTTTAGGGTGGGGTCATTTTCGTTTTAAATCAGCTTTATTGAGATATAATATAAACATACCATAATGCATGAGTTTTGACAGCTATCTCCATTCCTATAACTACTGTCCCAATCGAGGGACAGACTCAGCCGTCACCCCAGAAAGGCCCTGTGAACACCAGGGTTCCAGGCCTCCAGGGTTGGTGACCGCCTGGCTCACAGTCTCAGCGCTGGTCACAGGCAGGCCGTCCAGCACGAGCCCCTCACTCTTCCGCATGCGCAGCGCCACCTGGGGACCTGCTGGAAGCTGGCTCAGCCCAGGGGCCTGGGGATCTGCATTCCTAAGCAGCTCGGCCACGCTCTCAGGCTCCGAGTCTCTCAGGGGCAGATGAGGGAACTGGGGCTCCGAGCTTGGATGTGCGCAGCCTGCAAACGCTGGTCCTGCGCTCCTGGCCAAATGCCCATTGTGCCCCACTGCCCTCCAGTCCTTCTCCTTTGGATCTCTGCCCGAACCCTACATCCCACAAGAGGTAGGAATGTGAACCTTTCGCCT